CTATGAGTCACACGTGACTTGAGGACAAATAACAACACAACATCTTAAAAGCTCAGTCCTGGACAACATGAGGTAGTCAATGTGTAAGAAACAGGTCTATAGCTAATAAAAAATAAAAAAAAATAGGCCTAATAATGACTATTTTGTTTTGAAGAAAAGGGGGATCACTATACGTTTTATTACAACATTGCAGGAACTCGCTAGATTATAATTGAGTTCCATTCCTAAATCTATCTTCAAGTTGAATTTGTAAATAGATTACAAGCCAAGGACATTTATCTAATGTCAGTAAATCAAATGTTTGTCTCCACACATAGTATATCATTCTATGTATTAAAAAGGGGGATGGGGAGTATTAACAAAGCACAGTATACGAAAACACAAAACAAATACATTGCAATCTAGGGGTTCCAACTCCCACTAACCCCATAAAATGAGGTAAAATGACACACAGGGCTTTCAAGGCTGTAAATCTTTACAGAATTAGATTCCCATCCCTTTTCCTTGTGGAGTGGTTGGTGGATTTGAATCACTAACCTTTTCATTAGCAGACAAGTATGTAACCACTACACTGCCAAGGCTCACAAACACAAAGCAAACAATAGCAATATTATTTTCATGTGCAACACAAAGTAATACAACTTGTTAATTCAAACTAGTGTATTTGCCTAAATATTTAGTGGGCTTTATCACTGTTGATAACTGTGATTTATTTATAAACCAGACTTTTTAAAATATTTTTGTTGATTTTCATATAACAATATCTTTACAGTATATTTCACTAATATATATTGTTTTACACCATCTTTCATTTACATTGACTTTCATATAATTATTCATATACGTTCTATTATACATTATTTTTATAGTTTATTTACAAAATTAAAACATTGTTTTTCACACTAGATTCTTTCCATTTCCCTCCCCATCCATCAAATTGTATGACTCCATGATTTTTCCTCCACCGCCCCAGCACTTCCTCATCCATCTGCTTCCACCCTCCCCACCCGCTTAGAAAGATCCTGTGTAGAAAACAATGTATATGAACTTTATGAATTTTGTATGTAAAGCAATATATAATTATTACCTAACTTGAGAGGGACTAAAGAACATTATACTGAGTGAACTAGCTCAGTTCCAAAAGGACAAGTACTGTATAAAACCATTATTGTAGAATGAGTATATGACAGGTTTTTATAATCCTGGCTGCTTATACAAATCAGTACCTCTTTCCTGTTATCCTGGTATTCAAATATCAAGGCTGGGAGAGGAAAAAGATTCCTCATTAGTGAAGGAAAATGAAAGAAAAAGTATTGGCACATCTTACAAATTTTGTAGCTACTGATCCAGGATTTCACCTTTCTTACCATTTACAAAGTAGTCTTTTTTTAAAAAAAAAAAATGCTATTGGTTTGCATATAATAATTTGTTTATATGGTATTTCATTCACATACATTGTGTTTTATACAATCATTCACTGACAATGTGCTTCATACAGTCATTCACAGACATTCTATTTTATATAATTACTATTTATTGGTGCCCATTATCAGCTTCATCTCTCATACTTTGGACATACTGCTAGGAGAAGCTATTCCTTAGAAAGAGAAATGATATATGGAAGTACTGAGGTCAGCAAAGGAAAGGAAAACCTCCAACAAGATGGACTGACATCGTGACTGCAGCAACGGAATCAAGTGTATCAGAGACGATGAGGATGACACAGGATAGGACGGGATTCCGT